AGAGAAGGTACCTGACGATTGGAAGAAGGGTTACCTTGTCAAACTGCCGAAGAAGGGAGACCTCAGTGCTTGCAAGAACTGGCGCGGAATCACTCTCCTGTCCACCCCAAGTAAAATATTAAGCCGCATCATCCTGGAGAGGCTTAAAGATGCACTGGATTCAAAACTACGACCAGAACAGGCAGGCTTCAGGAAGTACAAATCATGTGCAGACCAAATTGCAACGCTTCGTATCATCATAGAACAGAGCATAGAATGGCAATCACCTCTCCACCTCAACTTCATCGACTTTGAGAAGGCCTTTGACAGCGTCGACCGAGAAGTAATTTGGAAACTGCTTCAATACTACGGAGTACCGCAAACCTTTATCCGCCTCATTCAACAACTATATGAAGATGCCACATGCCAAGTAATCCACAATGGGAAGCTCAGTGATGCCTTTGAAGTGAAGACAGGAGTGAAACAAGGTTGCCTACTATCCCCCATGATATTCCTTATTGTGGTGGACTGGATCATGCAGCAAACAGTAGGCAGCGAGAAGAGGGGGATACACTGGACGACGGAAAAGAACCTAGAAGACTTGGATTTCGCCGATGACTTATGCCTAATGTCACATAAACTTGAAGATCTGCAGGCAAAAACTAACAAGTTGATAGAAGAGGCAGCGAAGACGGGACTTCAGGTGAATATAGAGAAGACAGAAGTGATGAAGATACCGCACCACCACCATCAACAACAACAACAAACTCCAATCACCATCAACGGGAGAAACTTAAAGGAAGTAACCTCCTTCACTTATCTAGGAAGCACTGTTTCAACTACAGGCGGGACGGACGAGGACGTCAAAGTCAGAATCGGAAAAGCAAGACAGGCGTTCATTAGCCTGAAACCAGTGTGGAGATCTTCTGCACTCAGCATGCGGAACAAGATACGGATTTTCAACACCAACGTCAAGTCAGTGCTCTTGTATGGCTCAGAGACTTGGCGCGTCACGAAAGGCATTTCCAATAAACTACAGACATTCATCAACAACTGCTTACGCTCGCTGCTGAAGATCAGATGGCCAGAAAAAATAAGCAACAAGGAACTCTGGGAACGAACCAACCAAGAACCTATCACGCAACAAATATGCAGGAAGAAGTGGAGATGGATTGGCCATGCACTGAGAAGGCCGACTGAGGACATCACGCGTCAGGCCCTCGAGTGGAATCCCCATGGGAAGCGACGAGTTGGACGTCCAAGGGTGACATGGAGGAGGTCGTGCGAGCAGGAAATGAGAGCTTGTGGGCTGTCGTGGGACCAGGTTCAAAAGATCTCAGAGAACAGAGGTCACTGGAGGCGTGCTACTGAAGCCCTATGTTCCACTAGGAACCCAAGGGACTAATAATAATACATCACATATTTCAGATAATCTTCATCTTCTCATTACACTTTAAATTTATATACATTACCATTCTTTATATTTATTTGAGAAAACATGATTGAAGGTTATGTGAGAAGGCATTTTCGAAAATAATATCAATCTCAGCAGTAAATTCTACCACCATTACCAGTAAAAGAAGAGAGATGGTAAGACTTAGAAAACAAATTTGAAATACTTTACGACCACTTTGATATGATTTTGGGCAGCTGTTTTTGCCTGAAACGCCATCCAATTATTAATAATTTATCACCGTATGTCATGTCAAATAAACTAATATAATGAGGAATTGTGTCAGGCTACGCTTCCTGTGGCTTGTTTGCCTAGATATTTGACTTCCAACCAGTGGTTATTTCAAGTTGTTATTCATCGTAGACTGACATCAGTTGGAGGAACAAAGGAAACCTGGGAGCACTGGACAGCTATTTCGTCCTAGTATGGGACTCCCCAGCAGTGCGCACCCACGACCCCACCGGCAGGGATCGAACCCGCGACCTTCAGGTTCCGCGGCCAGCGCGTAACCATTGAGCCACTGGATCAGAATCTAATGCTCCATATTTCCAACTTCTGTTACCTCACGATATATATATATATATATATATATGTATATATATATACATATACATATATATACATATACATATATATATATATATATATATATATATATATATATGGATCACGTATTCTAACCCTACTCGACTTATCAAAGTCTAGTCAGCCAATTAGTATCATTACGCTTCACCAAGCAGGGGTGGCTGATTACTTACTGCATAAGTGTGCCACTGACTCCTGAGTTCTGTTTCGACTATTTCCTCTTATTTCTATTCATAAATTTAGTAGTTTATTATCAAACTTGACGAAATATAAAATACTGTTAACATCCGTAGCCATCCTTGAATACCCCTCGGGGTTTAAAGAAATAATATCGTTTGTGAAGAACCCTTCAACATTTTCTAAAAGTGAAATATCGGTATAAACTTATTACTTCATAATAAAACATTCACTACACTAAATCAAAGATCTTTCTCAACGAAGATGTTTTCAGTAGTGAAAAACAGAGGAAATGATCATTTATTTTTCGAAAGGACATTTAAAAAAATATTTTCACAGCCACAGTTATGATAACAATCTTGAGTATGCAGACACACAGATGAATCAATGTAGAACCTCACATACAATTGCATTGGTTCGAGTTGCCAAAATTCAAAGTAGTATACAAAGACAGGTGAATAGAAAAAGTTTAATATCAAAGTACGGGAAGGTGCATCAGTGAACAAAAAATTTTACGATAAAGCTTAACTCAAATATTTAAGCTTTATAAGACATCGAAGAGTGAATAGATTTGTGACATTATCACAGATTTTCAGTCATTTCATCAAGAATTCTCAACCACAGGTTTTGTCATCTGGAATACCGCTGCTAGGCAGTTTACACCACCCTAAATAACTCATACCAACAGTTAGAGACTTCATGAATCGATGGCAAATCTTGATCTGGTCACCTTGAGCCCTCTTCTAACCTAGTCCAACTTCCTCTAGCATGATATGTTGAGGTAGACTGTAGTCTGGCATGAGCTACACATGTTCAAGCCACCTCAGTCTCTAGAAGTCCACAACCTCATTTACCCACTTGCTTGCCTTGTCTAGTATAGATAAACAAACGAGGTTTAATATGACACCCTTAACTTGCCAATTTTGCTTGGATTAATTGATTCAATTTTTGATTGGTTTTTGAAATACAATATGATTCTTGTATTTAAGGGAGATGCTCGGTTCTTATAACTGATAGCGGACAAAGTTCTGAAACTGTTAGCAAATGTTTTAACCGAGTATATCTAGCCAGTGATACACTAGGGGTTAGGGATTGTAGACTGCAGGTGAATTGCTCAAAACCGATCACAGTAGTACTATTGTCTTTATTCTCTATCTTTCTCAAAATCCATATTCGATTATTTTGGTTATATCCTTTTCTGTGTTGAAAGTCTTCTCATCTCCTCCGGGATCCTTTTTCATGTCAATGTGAAGTATGATCACTTTCAGAGACTAAGTTATATGTCAGATTGTGTGCTGTTACATTTCTATATTCATCCAAGTGTTTTAAGAACTCATAATCCTCACTTCTATCAGAATGTATACTATTCCACCCTTAGATAAAAACTGACAGTAATTTAAAGCTTATGGATTATCTTTTCAACTGAGATGCTAATAACGCTTCATTTAGTTGGTGTTTTAACGGGAAAAAGCAGTAAAACAATAATAAAAATACTAACGATGGGTAAATTTTACCTCAAGATGCCCTAAAATCTTGCTTTTATGAAGTATCAGTAAGTTGCAATTTGTGTTATAGGTGTTTCTTTAAATACTAGTGGTTCATAAGGCTAAGATTTATAGTCGACAAGCCTATACACACTTTTATTTGTTGGCCATCTTAGATACAACTTGCAAGACTCCATGTTCGAATCATAAAATTTCCTAATTTGAAAGTCGCTTCTGAAAATAAATTAATGGCATAACCATAATATCCTACATAAGAACTAATCCCTTGTACAGAGATTTTGACTGAAACCGATAAACTCGATCCTAAGGCTTTGAGCCATTGCTTAAATAGCTGAGATACAAGACTCAAGTGATGGTATTCTTCAGTTGATAGCTTTCGAAAATTGATTGACTTTGAAGGTAGTATTCATCGCAGACTGAATTCAGTTGGAGAATCGTTGAAAATATCAAAGCAGTGGATAGCTGTTTGTATTAGTATAAGGCTTTTGAGCTGTCCATTTCTCCCAGATCCCCTGACTGATAACAGTTCGTGATGATAATCTTAGTTTCATTCTGCCGTTGCATGTTTTTTTTGAGTGTAGAATGACAATGTGCGAAAGTGTAACAGACTTATTTCGGCATCTACGGTTAGGGTAGAACAAAAACCCAGTTTGTGGCGTGAATAATTGGTTAGAGGCTTTGATGGTGGATTTACAAGAACTGAATTTGATTGGGTTACAATTTCACTCTAGTCACTATGTGTTTTGCATAACTGCCTTTTGAATGAGCAGTTTGCAACTGTTTGTTCATGACAAGACTTTCGATAACCTTGGAGTGGTTAGTTCAAACCTTGCCCTATCTTCGGTCTCCAATTTCATTTAACTTTCATCTTGTAAGTGAATTGCTTCGCAGTTATGCTGTCTCGTGGTACCATTTACTGACCAAGTGACTGATGAGCAAACATTTACTTATCGCCCATTCACACGACTGATGGTCAAGTCTCTTGACTTAATTGGCACAGCACTTAACTTACAATCTTGAAGCTGATGCTTCGAATCCTGTGAATTTTAGTACCGTTAAATGAATCAGGCATATTCACAGACTTCGTATTCACGTAACAGACTGGAAAACATTCAGTGGTTGAAATTAAATTTAAACACAGAATAACTAGGTCTTAGAGACCTATAGTCAAGTACCTTTAAGATTTTGAGTTCTCTGATGAATTTCATTCATTACCAACTGCATAAATGTTAAACAGATTATGGGTAAAGATCTCAGCACTGACCGAGAGAGGAATAACTTTATCTTCGTTAAAAACTTACTTTATGTGCATTCCGTCTGAAAAAGGCTTTACATGATTCACAGGTTAATTGACCAAAATTATGATTGACAGCTCTATCACCGCAAACTTTACACTTTTTCTCAATATTACTATGTATATTGCTATTATTATTACTATTATTGTTGTTATGCTGATGATTGCTTGGATTGTCTGAATGACTGTTGATTGATTTAGGATGTTGAGAATGATAATAATTTAAACTCTTCGCTTTATGATCTCGACTAGAAGGGTTACGTGAAGAGGATAAAGTGGTTACTACGGTTGTAGTTGTTGTCACTACCGTGTCGACGTGATAGGTGAATATTTCGACTGAAATGTTGAATAAGCCTGCCTTGGAACAATGTTTGTGTCAAAATGATTATTATTATGATGATGTTGATAATGATGATCAGTTTTATAATGATTGTTGAGAAAATTATCTCTTGGATGACTCTGAATTTCTGTCGTTAGACAAACCCCTTCGATATTATCAATAGAATTATTATTATTATTATTATTATTATTATTATGTCTAGGTATATTATCATGATTGTCAGATAAGTCATTCGATGTCAAGTTATGTTCAGATAATACTGAGGAGAATTCTCTGAATGGTCTAAAGAATGTTGATCCATTGAAGGTTTCATGATACTATCAACACTAGCAGCATCATTCTGATCAATATCAACGTCCGTATTGTTATTCAGCCGACTTGTTGTTTCAGTATATGATAATTCATTAATTCTATCACTACTATCACCAATCACCAAAGGATAACTTTCAGTATTTTGCATTGTCATTAAGGTATCAGATGGACAATAGTTTTGTTGACATGGATCTTGATTTAACCAAACTACAGATTGATATTTACTCTGTGTTTGTTGGTCATCAGGATGTATACATATAGAATGTGATAAATGTGTATCTGATATTGTATTTATCATTGTGTTTGACAGAAAATATGTAGGCTCCTGAAATACTACAGGTAGTGATTCATTTCGTTGATTCGATAGACTATAACCATCATCATGAATACTGAAGTTGGTAGAATTACTGTTCGAAAGTTGACTTTCATGGTCAGAAGTATGAAACTGACCTAATTGTTGATCAGTATGTTGCAAATGTGATTGGTTCTGTTGACTATGAAGGTAGTGATTATTGAAATTGTTTTGTTGAAAGTTATCAAAGGTATAAAATGAATTAATATGATTATTATTACAAGGAATTTGATGTGAAAAATCATTCATTTGATTGGATAACTAAAAGTAAATCAAAAAACGGATTTTTAAAAAAAATTAAAATTCACATTGACGTCCTGATCAAAGTTGTAGAAAAAGTGGTAGAAATCAGATTTTATAGTATATTTCCTCTAAATTCAATGTCACCTATTCACTTGCAATGCATGAAGTCTAAACTAGCAGTCAACAATTTATGACTAACACTTATTTTCCTGTTGTCTGAGTTTTTTTCTTTATTTCCTCATATAGTGGAGTATTTTCCTTATGAAACTCTGACACACTGACGATGATGTCTAAAATGACAATGAAACTTTTGCCAAATAAGGCTGTAGCTCAGAGAATAACTCAGTCTGGATCAGTTTCCATCAAAAGGTTTGAAAGTTATTTACTTCCCTTTTTAATCAGTTGCTTACAGAAGATTTAATTTTGTGTACAGAAATATATTTCACCTTAAACCCGTAAATTGTGATTATTAATTTTTGAGTCTTGAAATTCATTTATCTTTACAGTTAAGCTGCTTCTGACAAACTGACTAAGAGTTAAAATTAACTGGAGAAATGCTATCAATTAGGAAACACTAAACATCTGTTTGATAATAGTTCAGGTTAATATTTTTGAAAAGATCTAGATCAAGGTGCAAACAACTGTTCATTGCTGTCTAGCCGTTTTCTGTCTGAACAGAATCCTATGAAATCCTCATCCTGCAAAAAACCAATTAGTAAGTTTCAACTTTTCTATGACTTTAAAAAAGAAAGATGTTGAAGCCTTCTTTCAGTGATTTTCAGTAAACAGTGGTGATGATGATTATCCTAACCTACTTAAATTCTCATTTGATTATCTGAGATAGCTGTGGTTTGGCAGACTAGTACTGATACTTGGTGATGATTGAAGGTGAAATGAACTGCGGCCGGATTCCAACTGGTGACCACTCGGTTTCCAGTCCAATGCTGTACCAGCTGAGCAAAGAGGTTCGACTGCTGATCACATTTTTATTTTACTGCAATCACCAAGGGTTTTGCCCTACTACCATGTGAATTCATGAGGCGTTACTGCAACTTGATCGTATTCACACTGGCTGTCTAGTCAGGGCTTCTCATCCCAATTCAAATCAAACTAAATCAGAGAGGGGGAGCATCATATTGATTACCATTCTGACTATCTGAGATAGTCATGGTTTGATAGACTAGTATTTATACTGGGTGATGACTGAAGGTGAAATGAAAATTTGAATCCTTGGTGACTGAATTGAAATAAAAATCTGGCTAGGAGTCGGACCTCGTAGCTCAGTTCGTAGAGCATCGGACTTGAAACCCAGTGGTTGCCGGTTGGAATCCGGTAGCAGTCCAGATTTTCATTTCACTTTCAGTCATCACCCAGTGCTCAAATGTATTGAATACTTCTTTTTCATTTCTACTCACTAACAGGCCTCAGTAGCTGAACTATATAAACTTAATTTTCATGGGTAAAATACTGATGAACTCTTTCTTAATTGATAAAATCATCTACCCACACCTGTATTAATGTTATCTGACTAGTAACACCTAAAGATCACAGAGAGTTAGTGACTAGCATTGAGAGGTGATTCGTCAAGTTCCAGTGAGAAGTTGTGACCAGTGAGAACAAAAATGTCGCACAAGAGGACAGGTACACAACAACCGTTTTGGATGGAGGTCGCACTATATCGTGAACTGACAGAAGTAGGAAATATGGACCATTGGATTCCGACCTAGTGGCCTAGCAGTAACGTGCTGGCCGCCGAGCATTGAAGGTACTTGGTTCCATCCCTCGCGGCGTGGGATGATGGGCACGTACTGCTGAGAAGTCCCATACAAAGACGAAACAACTGTTCAGTGCTTCCAGGTTACCAATGTTTCTTCAACTGATGTCATTCCATGATGAATACCAACCGGGAATCAATAAAATCCCCCATAGGCTTCTAAAGTGAGACTGTTAAGCAGTATATTTTGAAAGGTAATGCCTTTCAGTCCCTGTAGAAAAATGGAAACTTAATAATTAATATATGAACATATAAATATTACGAGTTATCAAAGACAATTTGTTGATATTTAAATGCTCGGTATGTTTAAAGTAGCGTCACGCTTCAAAAATCTGATTGGTTACATCATGAACCCGCTTGTATTTGTCAATACAAGCCAGATAAATCAGTTTTCTTATCTTGTAAGAATTCAGAAAACACGTTTACACTTTAACGAAGGCAATTTATCCAAGTACTGCTAATTAACATACAGAAGAATATCATTAGTGTGCAAAGAGTTTCTAGGCTTTTATAAAGCATAATGTGTATAACATATATAGGGATAATTACTATAGTTGTTTTCTAATTTTATTATATTCCTCTTACAGTGAAATTCTGCCACTTTTCATTGATCTATTTAAAAATATTCTGAATAGAAGTAGGAGTTGTATACCCATTTCCTTAGAACTGTGCTATTATGGTTTACTCACTAGACTTTAAAACAATATGCTGGATAGGTTAAAACTTCGCGTCACTTGCTATAATCTAGACACCTCAGATAGTTACATTAGCTCATTCGTTATAAGTTTTATTGTAAATCCTATTTTGTGTACTGATACGTTAAAATTATGATTAGTGTAAATTAAACAATTGTAAGTTTTAAAATTTCTGTTGAATGTCAATGGGGAAATTAGGTTAACTAATCAAATTACTTTTTAACTTAGCCTTCTTCAGTCCAACTAGAAAGATCTACACTCATCCAGATGCATCACTGATAAGTTTGCTTTCAAGTAAATGAAACACTAATCAAATATCTAAGATTACTGTTATTTGATTAGATGAGATATACAACCATTGATCACCATGGGTACTATCTGTACTCATAAAACTCAGGAGTAAATTGTTGAAGGTTTTAAGTACAAATCACAAAGCCTTAAACAAAATTTCTTTGATTTCAAAAATAATTTAAGATATTGAACGTTCAGTGAGAATTACATAAAGACTACACAAACACAGTAATTACTGACAGCTGAAGAGTAAACAGTCTCATAAATCTGTTAATTTTCACAGATAGAGACTAAGGTAAGTTGAAGAACTAATAAAAACCTGGGAGCACTAGATAGGTTTTTCGTCCTGGTGTGTGACTCCTTAGTAGAACATACCCATAAACTCACCGTGAATCAAACTCAGAACCTTCAGGTCTCGCAATGGACGCGTTAAACACCAAGACAGTGGGTGGAGTCCAGTGCTCCACAATTTCCTAATTCCATCAATTCACGATCCTACTATATATCGGAAATTGAATGAAAAGTTTTACAAATCTACCAGTCAGTGGATTATCATTAGTTAAACGAATGATAACAAGCTTACTGTGAATCTTAAATAGTTAAGGTTTTGTTTTTATAAGTTTTACTATGCCTAATGGTGATGAAGATACCCAACCAACAACAACAAGCTCCAATCACCACCAATGGGAGAAACTTAAAGGAAGTAGTCTCTTTCACCCATCTAGGCAGCATCATTTCAACTACAGGTGGCGGCGCATACGAAGATGTCAAAGTCAGAATCGGAAAAGCAAGACAGGCTTTCATTAGCCCGAAATCAGTGTGGAGATCTTCTCCTCTGCACTCAGAATAAAGCGTGAACAACACCTGGGTTTTCAACACCAATTCAGTCAGTAAAGTCAGTGCTTGTGTGTGATGGCTGAGAGACTTGGCGCGTTACTAAAGGCACTTCCAACAAACTACAGATATTCATCAACAACTACCAACTACGCTGGCTGATTACTGAAGCTGAGATGGATTGCCGGAAGAATAAGCAACAAATATGCAGAAGAAAGTGGAGATGGATTGAGAAAACATTGAAATGACCATTCAGGGACATCATGTGCCAAGCCAGGCACTCAAGTGGAACCAGGATGGAAAGCGACGAGTTGGGCGTCCGAGCCGAGGATGACATGGAGGAGATCATGTGAGGAAGAAATGAGAGCTTGTGGGCTGTCGTGGAGCCAGGTTCGAAAGATGACAGAGAACAGAGTGGAATGGAGACGTGCTACTGAAGCCCTATGTTCTACTAGGGTCCCAAGGGACAAATAATAATAATACGATGCTTACTACTACTACTACCACCACCACCCAGCAGGCACAAATAAGGAAAAAACAACTGCTCAGTTTACTGCCTATTATTCCAAAGCTTATCTGACTAGTGTTAGTCTGTAATTGAAATCCTAATGAAGCTGAAGGATTGGAACCAGTTAACAAGTAATAGTCAATGTCACCATTCATAAAGATTCTCAGCACTGGCTTTGATATTTGTAAATCATCATTGTGATTCACTAATATCCGAAGTGTCTTTACTTCCTTTATCATATACAAGTATAGTCTTTTAATGTGGATACGTTCAACAAAATGAGCTTCTTCACTCCTTATATTTATGAATGGAAATACTTTTGTCCAAGACTGAAGAGTATAAGGAAATTAACAGCTAACTTAAGTTCATATATATTGGCACTCATATTTGTCGATCACCTGTAATCGTTTTCTCCATAACAAAGTGATATGCAAACAGAATTATCCCTCCTGTTTTTTAAACAAATAAATGATTCTTAAAGTATACTTTCTTTTGATAATTCTCCAATAGTATTTATTTATTGAATAGAGTATTTTTAACATTTGTACGTTTTGTATTAACGGTGGATAGTGGAATCAAGGATGTGCGTCTCATCAGCTGGATACAGTTGCCTCTTACTGAGTAATATTGTTCCTATTAGGACTCCGATTCCAGACCAATCGCTTCAACGACATTTATACGTTTATTCAAAAAGAGATAACCTGAAAGATCACTAGAAACCAAGAAGCTATCGTTAGTTGTTTCATTCTAGTCGATCACTTCTTAGTTAGTATATAACACATAATCTATGCACCTTGCTGATTAGTGCAGGATATGGGTGTAGGCTAGATTGGGCAGTCAAGTTAACCGCCTACTCCTAATGTCAGTTTTCTTTCGATCAAAGGGTAGGTTTTATTAATGACTGTTAGGTAGGATT